GACAGCAGCTACTGGCAAATGGCAGCTCTTGCACTTTTTGACTGTGTAATGGATGTAAATCCAAGTAGGGCTTTGCAGTGGATGAAGTGCCCCACACTTAGTGCAATCCACACATTAAATATGCGTACGTCAGGCTTGATTGATTGCTAAGTGGAGCAGGGTAAGAAACATCTGAGCAGATGTTGGAGTCCCATTAGACACAAGGAAGGAAGCATGTAATTAGGCAATTATTTAGCTCCTTGAATCAACAGTTTAGGCTCCCACAAAGCTTTGAAATTTTCTTTTCAAGGTTCAAGCGCTTAGATCTGTGGCTTGATTTCTCTCTGCTCGTTTCCTTTTATCTTTATCTTCTCCAGCGCTGGCCCAAGGCATGGGGCAGGATTCTTTGGCACCCAGAGCCATATGCTATATGGACAGCAAACCAGGAGCACAGCTGCTTCTCGTGTCAGTGGGAAGGCTCTCCAAGGAAAAGCATGGAAAAGCGAGCAGTTATTGTTTGTTTGTTTTTGTAATTTTATTTTTAATCTGGACTTTCAAGAGTGTTTTCCTTCCAGACCTTGTGAGAAACAGCTGAAAACCAACACTTTGGATGCATCCCTCTTGAGAAACTCATCCCAGTGATAAGCTGGGTCAGCAATGGGGGATGGAGAAACAATGTGGGTGGAGAAATCTGCACTCCTTTCCGCCCCCACTGCTGCCACCTTTTAACTGTGTGTGCTTTGGAGGCATTTGTATACTCTCCTTGCAATGCTCTTTGGATTTCTTTTTTTTGACCTTTTGTGCTGCCCTGTAAACAGCTTTTCCTATCGCTTCGAAAATCTTCAAACTAAATTTGATTGAAATTGGGTGGTCTGTTCAAAGTTAAAAATGCAAGGATGTGCCACTGGAGTGGAAAATAAAGATCAGTAACATTGATAAAGGCTTCCCTGTGTGGAAGGAGAATGCTGAAACCTTGTCTTCCCTACTTTCTGTAGTTAATGTGCATTCTCTACACATAAGAACTCATCAAGTAATGTGCTGAATTAGAAATATTTGGTGTTTTGGGGTTTTGTTATTATTATTATTACTATATCTACATCATGGGCTTTAGTGTCATGAATTATCCTTCTCAGCACGGTGAAATATAACCAGTCTTAACTTGTCTTAAATGATTTTAAAATTGCAAAGTTCTTCTGAATACCCACAAAACAGTAGTATTTCCCCAGCATTTTGAGCACTTTTCTAAACACTTGCAAGGAATAGCAGTTGCAAAACACTTTTCAGGTGCAAGATATCAGTGACATTCAGATGTGACATATCAAGATAAATGCTTTGTAGGGATTAAGTGAAAACTCAAGCATGACCCTTTTACCACATAATATGGGATGGATGAAGGACTGCGTCGTTTCTGTTTAGGTTTTGTCTTTTGCTGCTTAGACACAGGTGAATATTTCCCTTTAACAAAACACTGAGAGTATGGTTTTCATCACGACCTCATTGGGGCCTTCCAATACTTGAAGGGAGCATGTGAACAGGAGGGGGAATGGCTGTTTATGAGGGTGGACAGTGATAGAACAAGGGGGAATGGTATTAAGCTGGGACAGGGGAGGTTTAGGTTAGATGTTAGGAGGAAGTTTTTCACACAGAGGGCGGTGACACACTGGAACAGGTTGCCCAAGGAGGCTGTGGATGCCCCATCCCTGGAGGCATTCAAGGCCAGGCTGGATGTGGCTCTGGGCAGCCTGGTCTGGTGGTTGGTGACCCTGCACATAGCAGGGGGTTGAAACCAGATGATCACTGTGGTCCTTTTCAACCCAGGCCATTCTATGATTCTATGATTATGAACCAGAGGGTAAGCAGAACTTTTTCTTTGGAGGAAGGAGGAAGGCTGGTTGCTTGAGCAAAGAAGCATGCACTGAAATTTGAAGGATGAATCTTCAAAGTACAGAACATAAAAGGAGGCAATGTATTGTTGGTAGCAAGAGGAGCGGTGGTAACTTGGCCTGTCCTCAAAAATTCCCTGGAATGTGAAAGATCCAAGTAGCCCCCTCCTATGCAGGAGGAATGTAAGAATGTAATCTCTTAGAATAGAATTATAAACAGAAGGTAGAGGCTGGAAGGCTGGAGAAGGAAGGGGGGCAGTAGGCACTTGCCTGGGGAATTCTTCCTGCAGAGCTGTCTCCAGCTGTGTTGCTTTCGGGAAATGTTTCAGCAAGTTAGTGGGCAAAAGGCATTTGCATTCTCCAACACCTCGCTGGAAACCATCTTTACAATGTGTATTTGAAATGGAACTTTGCATTTGAGCAACTTCAGACTTGAAGCCTCCTTTCCCATGAGGATTGCTGCGGGATCCCACAGGGCAGAAAAGGAGTCCCACTGGGATTTCTTCCTAATAGATAGATAGCTTGTCTGTGATCTTCTCCTCTTGTCTCCAGGAAGAAAGTCTTTTCTAAATCAGCTTACACCCCCACTGAGGTGTGCTGTAGAAGCCAGCAAAAAATGCATGCTGCAGAGTTTGTTGACAGCCAGCTCTGTTTTAAAAAACAACCATCTTGCCTTGCTTTAGATTGGAGTGGATTCGATCCCCGGTGGCTTTGTAAAGAGCAATTCTGTTAATTTTTGATGGGTTTATCTCATAATACAAAAGCACACGTTTTAGATTGTTACTGTTTAAAATTAATTGTTTGAACAAAGAGGTATCATTGCTACGCTGGTACTTGAACAAAACCTGTTGATAATGATTAGAGGTCGCTGTGCTGTGGGCGTCTGCCACCTCCATCCTGAGCCCATCACAGCTTTCACATTGCATCAACCCACTGACTGACTGCAGGGAGCAGTCATTTAGCTGAGCTCATCCTATTGTGCACTGAGAAATGATTTGAAGCACTTTGTTTGAATCTGGAATGCAGCGTGTTTAGGCAGATATTGCGACCGGTCTCTCTCATTTTTCTGAGGACAGGAGTATGGCTGTGGAGCTCTTGTTGACATTTCAATGTGTGCAGCCTTTAAACGTCATATAAATCACTCTGAATCTCTCCAACCATCATCTGTTTGGCATGTTATGGGATTCCACAGTAATTTCTCTTTTTCCATCTTGCAGTATTTTAGATTATATTTTGATGACACTCTGGGCTGAAGCACATTCATAATATTATACAGAATTACTGTGCTTCTGTTCTGCCTGGAAATCTTGACATAACTGATAATGAGGGACTTACTCATTAGTACATATTTTAGACTTCCCTCTGTGACAGGGATTACAATAATGCTCTCTTCTATGTATTCCACTACTTGAACAATAATCTCTGAAATTCACACCAAATAGATCGTTTCCTTTCCTAGACCAAGTGTTAGGTTTCTCTGCTTTTATTAAATGTGAATTCTTTAAAAAAACAAAACAACAACAACAAAAAACCAATAAAAAACAACAAAAAAAAGCCTCAACCCTTTGCATCACAGAAGTGAGAACCGTGAATTCAGGGTTTGTTTGTGCTGTGAATAAAATCAGAGCAGCGTGAATGTTTTGTCAGTAGCAGTGAGGTTTTTTTCAAAAGACTTTCCAGTTCAAATGAAGACTTCCATTACTAATTGAGAAGAGACACACAGCTTGCAAATATCTGCTGGCCACCTTCCTGTCCCACAGGAAACCTTCAGCAGTTTCATTCCTGCTTTGCAACCAACGCAGGGACGCTCCATCACTGCAGAATGTGACAAAAGACAGGGGGTTGTGTTCTGGTAGCTGAGAGTAGGGGGGGGTAAAGGTCATTTTCTGACCAGCGCAGTGTCACTGTGCTTCCAGAAGAGTATTTCAGTGCTGATTTCTGAAGTTACCTTGCTGCTGTTTGCTGAATGAATCTCTGTATGAGAGTGTGCTTATGTGCTTGAGTAGCTCCGCATTTTTATAGTGCTTGTAAGTTTCTTTGTGTCATAAATTACAGCGGGGAAGAGTTCCTAGCTCCTGGGGCCCCATGGATTTTCTTTTTTCGCCCCTTTTTTGCTCGATGCTGCCTGGGCTGTGCCATTGGCACCGCACACGCCGGAGCTCTCATGTCGCAACGTGAGCAAAGCAGCGGGGCACCGGGCAGCCTGTGGCGGCCATCCCCGAGGTGTGATCGAGCGATAAAGGAAACGTGGTGCCCTGCAGGAGGGTGTGTACCTATGAGGAACAGGAAGCCAGAGGCGGCTGCCTGCCTGCCTGCCTGCAGAGGTTCGCGGCTCCGGCAGCGCAGGTGTGCAGACGCGGAGCCTCTTCTCTCCGGGCGTCTTGGCAAGCAGGCTCATCTGGAGGGGAGGAAGACAACCCAAAGCCAAAACACCCCCCCCCCAACAACACAAAAGCTCTAGCTAGAGAAATATGACAGCCCTGCAGCTGAAGGAGCTGTCACAGTCAGGTCTGTACAGGAGGAGACGGGATCGCCCGGATAGCGTGGGGCTGCCTGTGTCGCAGGAGGAGAAGCTGAGGTGAGTGCGGAACCAGGGGCAGGGCCGGGGCTGCCAGCAGGCGCAATGCTGGCACGACTACACTGCACGTGTGCAGTCCTGAAGCACAGGAGGACGTAGCAAGAAGGATATAGGAAGCATGCAGGGACCATGTGGCAACGTGACTGCCTTCTGCGTGTGGCATGGGTAGCTGCCAGCTGATGGTGGCACCTCTGCCTCCTCTTTGCCAAGCCAGCAGCTTGCCACAGCCTTGCAGCTTTGCTGATTTAGGATTGTTTTTTTTTGCCATCCAAAGCAAGATCAGTCGAGCCCCCCAGGCCAGGGATGGAATACTAGGGAAAGTCAGGCTGTCCCCCAGGTCACAGAGGTGTTCTTCAGGGATGGGGCTGAAGGTACAGAATGCAACCGAGCCACTGGACCCAGCCATAGGGAGGGAGGGCAAGCAGCAGTTGGTGGCTGTGGCCATCTTCCTGGTGCTATGGCCTCCTGAGCCTGTGTGGGGTTTTCTAAGAGCCTCTGCTCAGAGCAGAAGGAGAAGGGGGTTGTGTGTAACATGAGCAAGTGCAGATACACATGCGAAATGTAAAAATGCTGAATTTAGTTTTTCTCGGTATGCTTAGCGTAAAAGCAACCTGTTTCCACATCAGGCTCCCCGGAAAATATTCTTGTGTAAATGCTAACAGAAGCGTCGTTGGAGAGGAAGCACTTCCTACGCCCCAGTGCCTTTTCTTTGGTTTTATTTTTAGAGTATTTTTCATTGTGGATATTTGTGCATTGCATTGGAGGAATGTGTAACTTATGTGGGTTTTGTTACTGCACTTTCATTACCAATTCCAGAGAGACAGGCATTCAGATTTGGGAGATTTGTTCTTTTTCTTGTTAGGTGTGCTTAACATCCATTTTGAGTATTAATTCCAAATGAATTTCTTAGATGGGCTTTTAATAGCACTGATTGATAGTACACTCATATGATTATAGAATAATCACGCTTAGTAGATGAAGATGCGCACAGACTCTTGGCTATATTTTGTTTAGTTTCTTTTATGCAACACTAGCTGTGAGGAAGAATATATCTTATTAGGGAAGTGAAAACTGCTTTTTACAGCTTATATATGAAAATAAGCCATGGTGTTTCTCTTGCATACAGCAGCCTGCTCTATGCACGCAAAGGTGGGACCCGTTTGTGGGTGGGAATATGTTGCCTGCACCAGTATGAATCTGAGTGGTTTGATCCTTTCCTGAGCCTCTTCCGGTTCAAGACAAGCAATATGAGACAAGGATCGATCTTGCAAAATAAAATGCAAGCAGAGGAAATGGCAAATCGGGGTACTGGTGAATCAGGTCAGGGCAGAGCACTTGCAGAGGACCGGAGCCCTATTGTGCTTGTCTCTATCTTGAGCAGTGGGTGCTTAGTCGAAGTAGACCTTGCTCCCTCCTAACCTGTTTTTTGTTCTATTTCAGTCCATGTTGCCAGGTAGCCTTATTTTACGATTTCTGCTGCATTCTCCTCAACAGAAGGCTGTGCTGTTGTAACTATAAAATAATGCCATAACAACAGGGCCAGGAGCGATTGGAGTGAAGAGAAATAGTCCTTTGATTTTCTAACATTGGAAACCTCTGGCTTTTATCATGTGCTCCTCCCTCCCCAGCGACAAGGATGCCTGTCCTTAGCACATGTTTTGGGAGTATCTAGAGTCCACAAGAAAGACAAGAGGTTTCTTTCATGTCTGCTAAATATAGCTTGCCATCCTCATTGGCTTTGTCATGCCCTCCTGTATTTTCTCCCTGCAGCTCTTTCTTCTGTCTCCTTTGAATATTGTGTGAACATGAATCCAGATGTTCTACATAATATCAGCCCTCAGGAGCAGAGTACTGTAAACTTCTTTCTCAGTTAAACTACTGCATTTTTCTAATCCTGGGCCAAAAAATGTACTTGACTTGGTCATTTCCTTAGGGTTTCCCATACTTAAGGTGCTGTGCTCTTGCACTGGGCTGGAAAGCAATGTGCTCAATCTCCTAAACATGTACATTTCCAAGAACCTAAGTTTCTTGAAACAGTTTTTCTTTACAGCATAAAAATAGGTTCTCATGTCAACATAACTTCATGATAGGCTGTGTGCTGTGAGATTCTGAGCTCCATAACAGGAAGCTGATCCTAAGCATCTGTGTCCATTCATGTTGCTTCAGCCAAAGGTTTGACCCCATCATTGTCTCTCAGATCTGCTATTTAGTTTATGATGAGTCAGTCTCTGAGCACATTTCCCTCAGTCTTTTCCAGGAAGGACCATGGCGGTAGAGCTGGGCTCTTACCGTTAAATTCTGTAGTTTACATTAAAAGCTGAAAAATGAATTTTTACGCTTCACAGAGTCTTTCCAACCATGTGCTGAACGTAGGTGCCAGATCATCTCGAGGGGCATTCATGCAGTGTTGGATATCTGTGGGTCCTGAGGGGGCTGGGGAGCTCCAGTCAACCCTGTGGAGGAGGGTGAGGCCATTTCAAGGAAAGCCACTGACAGCCATAAATAGCAAGCTCCCAGATCAGTGAGGTAGGGCAGGGCAGATCTCTGAGAGATGGAACAGACACAGCACTTACTGAACTGTGTGCAAGCTGGGAAATCAGCTGCTTTTTAAATTATTATTGATACATTTTCTGAATTGAGGGATAGGCTTATTCAATTCCAGCTATATTAATTTGGTGAATTAAAATAAAAGGCATCGCTGATAAATCTTGTCTTGCTCTGTCATTAGAAATGGTGTTCAAAAAATTCCCTAACTGTGCTGAGCTACTCTTTCTTTTCTCAGCAAACAGGATGCAAAGGAAATTGTTAGCATACGTTCATCATTAATCATTAGGAGTCACTTAACAGTAGCAGCATGTTCACTATTTTTGCATGTCCCACTTCTATTCTCATGCTCTTTGCAAAATACATAATGATTCCTCTGAAAAAAATGATGCTGTATTCCAAAGTGGAATTCAAGGCATTGGGAAAAGCAGGGGCAGTTCTCTTTTTAATACTTACACTTAAAATAAGTTTGATCAAATTCAAATACAATTAAAAGTGTAAATGATTTTTGAAGAGCTTGGTCTCGTGTTTTTACCAGTGAAATTCAGCATTAGCTGCAAATAATCTTTGGCAAGCTTCACTCAGTGATTGTTAGTTACCCAAACAGTTCGCTGCTCTGTTCTCCTATGCAGAAAGCTCAGTAGATATTCTCTACATTAGCAGTGTTAAAGTTTCTGCCCCTTTGTGCTCTACCACTGAAGCTGATGGGTACATCTGTGCAAGTAGGTTGCTGTTTCTGAATTGGCAACTCTGACTTCCTGCTAGGGCAGTTCAGCCTCCTGCACACATTGGCTCCAGGCACGTGGACGTGCCCCAAAATTTTGTGCACAAAGGCTCCCTCGCAGATGAAATGGGAAACATGAGCACATTCTTACACCCCACTCAGCCTTGGGGGGATAAACTCTGTGCTGCAAAGCTCAGAGAGAATAAAAGCAGGTGAGAATAAAAAGAAATACATGAATACTCCCCCCAGCTGCCAGATAATGGCAGTGTGGTAGGGCCGAATGTCTCCCTTGCCTTTTGAGATTCTAGGAGTTGTGCAAGCTCAGTAGTCTCCTCAGCCTGCCATCAAGAGCCTACATGTAATAGACAGCAAATTGGTGCAGGTGTTTCAGCCACATGTCCTGCCCAATGACCTTCTGTCCCTGAAGTCAGAAAGAACAGATCTGTAACTGGAAACCTGCTTAATTTAATTTGCACTGACAGCATTTCTTAATAGCATCACAAATGTTAACATTTACTTAACCTCTTTCTGCAGAGTAAAGAACTGGCTGGAAGGCTGAGCCCAGAGAGTGGTGGTGAATGGTCTTAAATGCAGATGGTGATCAGTCACAAATGATGTTCCCCTAGGGTTGATATTGGGGCTGGTCCAATTATATGTTTATTGGTGATCTGGACAAGGAGATTGAGTGTGATTTCAGTGAGTTTGCCAAGTTGGGGGGAAGCAGTGATCTGCCTGGGGTTAGGAAGACCCTTCAGAGGAAACTGGACAGGTTGGATCTGTGGACTGAGACCAATCGGATGAAGTTCAACAAGTCCCAGTGATGGGTCTTGCATTTTGGTCCCAACAACCCCAGGCATCGCTACAGGCTTGGGGCAGAGCGGCTAGAATGCTGTGCGGAGGAAAAGGGTCTGGGGGTGTTAGTTGACAGCTGGCTGATTATGAGCCAGCAGTGTGCCCAGGTGACCAAGAAGGCCAGTGGCATCTTGGCTTGTATCAGAATTAGTGTTGTCAGCTAGAGCAGGGAGGTGATTGTCCTCAGCTCTGGTGAGGCTGCACCTCAGGTACTATGTTCAGTTCTGGGCCTCTCACTGCAAGAAAGACAGTGAGGCCCTGAAGAATGTCCAGAGAAGGGCAACAGAGCTGTGGAGAGTCTGGAACACAAGTCTTATGGGGAGCAGCTGAGGGAAGTGAAATTGTTTAGTCTGGAGAAGAGGAGGCTCAGAGAGATCTCGTTGGTCTCTACCATGACCTTAAAGGAAATTGTGGCACAGTGGGGGTCAGCATCTTCACCTAGGGAACAGTGATAGAATGAGAAGTGTTGAGTTCAGATGCATTTCTTCTCAGGAGTGGGGAGGCAACGGTGCAGGCTGCCCAAGGAGGGGGTGGAGTGACCATCCCTGGAGGTGTTCAGGAACCGTGTGGATGTGGCACCGAGGGATGTGGTCAGTGAGCATGGTGGGGGTGGGCTGGTGGTTGGACTGGATGATCTTAGAGGTCCTTTCCAACCTTTATGATTCTATCATTAAGTTCAGCTTCTTTGTAGTGCCAGTATTAGTGAGTAAAGCAGTAATATTTCAGTATGTTGTTAAAAAAAAAATAAATCAATTTGTTAAATCATCAAAAGCTTGAAAATAAATGTTCAGTCGCAAAAAAAATGCAGTTCATCACTGTGATGGCTAGAAACTCTGTTGGAGTAATACAGTTGGGACCTGAAAATATCAATCTGAAGCAGATGCTTTGGAAATCCTGATTAAAAAAACACTTTGGCTCATCCGCTAGATGCTCTAATTGAGAAGAGTACTTGTCCATGTAAATGGTAGCATTGAGTTTGTATTGCTATTAATTATAGTAACATCCAGCCAGCAAAAATGTGTTTCACGGTTCCATTTTAATACTTCCACACTTAGAGCTTGTGAGATATCCAAATGACTAGAGGCCGTGCTTTTCATTTGTGCTTTTCATTTCATTACTTCAGGGGTTAAAATAACGCACACCAAACACACCCTATTTCTCTTGCCTTCTTGCTCACCCCTTGTCTTTCAGATTGCATAATAACTCCAACGCAGTTTTGCTTGACTTGCTCACCCTGTCTATAACCTCCTGTGACTCCAAATGACTGGAGGTAAATGCCTGCGTGACAGAAACTACTGCTGCTCCTACGTTTGCTTCATTGTAACAGTCAGCAATTTCCGCAAATTTGTTGAGCTTCAGTGATGATAGCAACTGGGATCTTTGTTGCTCTGAGAGCATTATCTGGGGAAGTATAAATTGTAGTTTTGGGGTTTTTTTTTTTTGCGTTTGATTTCATCTGTTTTGATAGCATCTTATCAAACATTCTTTCCAGAAAATATAACGTGATTGCTCATTGTTCTTCACTGTAATTTAGTTCTCCTTCGAATGAAGTCCGTCACACTGGACTGAATTTACGTATGGAAATACTCTGCAGAGGAGAGGCTAAATTGTGAAAGCTAATATGTAGACGTCACAATCTAATAAATAGCCAGTCTGCAGTCTGGGGAGAACAAGCTTGAAAAGGGTGTAGTACTGGGTTTCTCCTATTTTTCTCTTCCGGTGTCTCTCAGCTGTTCCACATGCCAGGCTGACGGGTGTCCTCGAGGGACCCATGTGCTGTTCCATGATGCTCTCCAGATGCAGAAGCAGCTCTAACAGTGCCCAAGTGCAGGAGACAGAGAAGAGAGCGGGCCTTTTATGGGGCTTCCCTGGGTGGTAATCCCAGCTCGCAGCCAGCAGTGGCTCCAGGGCTCCCCAGACACTCTGTGACATTCTCTGATGCTTTTCCATCTCCTAGCTCCTCCACTCTCACCTCGCACCCAGGAATCTCAGGGTGCTTCCCAAATGCAAGCGATGCTCTGAATTTTGGTGTGTGTCATCCACTGTTATAGTGCACGTCATTCATTTTTGTTTGCTCATTTTGTCATAGGAGGTGCAGGCACTGGTCATTTTTCATCTGTGTATTTGCCATCTTTGTAGAAGGTTCTGGGTTTAGGTAGCTCTTGACAGCATTCTGAAGTAATGATTTCATACATATTGTCCTGTGAGCAGTGGTTTTAGATGATGCTGCTCAGCTGTGCCATGAGACTGTACGTTGCTTTGAGATTCATCCTTACATATGAACAAGATGAAGCATCATAACATTGACAGGAGCCAACGAAAGGGACTTGCTTCATGATTTTTGTGATATTTCCTTGTCGTTTTCCTGCTTTTTCTGCATGCTCTGGTCTTGATAGAGCTAGAAGAAAATTAATTAAAAGTTTTTATCTATTAGCCTCATAAAAAGAAAGTAACAAATTGGCAGAAAGCCAGTGATACCTGGCAGTATTTCTCAGTTGTGCCTTTCTAAATAAAAGATCCAAGAGATTCAGCTCTTCCAGCAAGGAATGTATGGATGAAGGTGAAGCTGTTGTCTTTTCTAGCCAGTAAAGTCCATGCACGCTGTGCTCTTGAACTCTGTTCCTATGCAGCTACTAGAAAAATGTTACCCACTTGGAATAGTGACTCAAAACTGCCCTTGCTCATTGTGCTCTTTTTCCGTATGGAAAGTTTGCGTTTCAAGCTTTTTGTTTCACGTGATATTCGGCTTTTGGTATGTTGTTTTGTACATTCTTCCTTGATGGCTTTAAAGACTGAAGTGTGCATTATGTTTCTAATATCTTTAATAAGCTGTTCCTTACGTGTCATCTTCTTTTCATAAGGTGCATGCCAGCACTGCAGCCTCGGTATAGCACTGGTAGCGACCTGGCTGCAAGTTAGGAATTTTGCCTGAAGTGTACAAGCAGTTGCTTATTTTTAAACAGCATTCCCTTTTTAAGCTAATCCTCACACTATACCCACACCTTCAGTGTTATGTAGCAAAGAGGAAGGAGGTTTGGTAGGGCTTGAGCCCCCTGATTCAAAGCAAAAAGCCCTGCCTGCACTCTCCATTCCCTTTTATTCTGCTGAGCAGATTGCCCAGTGAACCCCAGCTTCGCTCCCTCAGATAAGCCTGGTAAATGTGAACTTCTTCCATTTTTCCTCACAAAGTTGCTTCTGGTATCACAAGCGTGTGTTGGATTCATTCAGTCCTGCTTCACTCACTTAGGATCTGTCAACTGTTGAGGTGAAAATTTAATTAAAAATTTTTTTTTTAATCTTGCAACTAAGCCTTTGGATTGGAAAATGCTTGGCAAGTGTTGCTATTCAGTAACTGTTACTGGAATTCCTTTGTGCTAACTTGAAATGTGTGAGACCCATACCCAATAGCTAATAAAATACAGGATGAAGGCCCTTGCTTTGCGTTAGACAAAATTTTGTGACTGTCGTAGTGGAGTATAAGGGTACTGCTATTTTGGATTAGCTTTATTTCTCAATATATGACTCATGCATGACTCTTAGGAACACAAATTGCTTCTGATTATTCTCTTTCATCTGTTGAATATTAGTGCGATTGCTTAATTTTGCTGTAATAACTGAAGATGGCTTAGCTGCCTTCCCTCTTGCTGGTTTTAAAGCTGGGTGAAACTGCAGTGAACATGTGAAGAAAAAAATGGGAAACCAAACCCCAGAATGACTCACAATTGCAATTTAATTTGTGAGTGAAGCGAATTAAAAGAGGAAGAGCTGAAAAGACGTCTTGCTGCCTTCTACCCCAAACAAATTGTTTAATTCAGGAAGTGAAAAACTTCATCGTTACAAACCTGAGACTAGAAAAGCAGACTTAGTGAAGGTGAAAAAATTCTTCTGAAGGTGCAGATTAGTGGCAGTATTGAGAAGGATTTGGGAGACCAGCAAGTGCTGTCCCTCAGCACCCAGGCTGAAGGTCAGTCCTTAGCACGTTGTCTCTGGTGCAGACATTGCTATAATAAGAGCATCATTTACAGCCAAAAAGTCTGCTGCTGGCTGTCATCTCAGCCCTATAAGGAACTTCGTAGACATCGTGGAAGTCTTTCCTGGCAGGCTGGATGTTACTTTTAGTCAAGGAATTAATTATAGCTCTTGGGTGAGCTGTTCAGGTCAGAGGGCTCGGTTTGTGAAAGCATTGGTACCAGCCGGTGCAGGTGGACAGTGAGGGCAGGAGCAAAGATTGATATCTCCCTTTACTTGAAGGATTCAGGGATGTGTTTGTAGTGAATTTCAGTAGCAGGGGACATGAACTGAATATTAGTGCCAGGAAAATGTTATTTTTGAGAGATTTCCTAAGGTTTGAAATGTCAGGAGATGAAAAGATCAACCTTGTACTTTTTTATGTATTTGGACTTTGAATTTGTTCCTTAAGCAAGGGAGGAGGAGCACACGAACACTTAATTGTAATTTGGTTGCAATTGTCTGACTGCTCTCAATTCTCTTTCACTTTGCTTTCTACTGTTTTGATTTCCAAAGGTTGAAGTGTTATCCTGCCCAAATGCTTTCAAATGTTAGAAGTATATGAAGTTGGTGTTCTGATGTTTACATCCAAATAGAAATATTCTTTCAAGCTTACTGGGCCTGATATTGTCTCCTTGTTGATGAAAATTCATTTTAGAGTGGATTTCTTTTTTATTATTCTTTCGTTAGGCAAGAGGATAGAAATTATATTATATGAAATGCATTGTTGTAAATTTACCTTTAAAATTTATTGAGTTGGAAGAGTTTGGGTACAGTACATTTAGCCCAGAGAAGTACCCATACAGTTAACTACACAGTAGGCATATGGTAAAAATGGCTGTGATCGGATGCCACGTCTCTTGTAGCACAGATTTTCTAGTGCACCTGTGTAACACTTGGCCTTTTTGTTTTGTTTTTATCTCTGTATAAGATGCAAAAATAGTAGCAACGGAAGAAATGGCCCTTTCAAAAAGGATCAAATATCTGTGCTCATTAGAAATCATTTTACACAAATCATGGCTTCGTTTGGTAATGTTTGCAATTAGCAGAAGACAATACTGTAGGCTGGTTTTTTTTGTTTGGTTGGGTTTTTTTTGTTTTTAATATTTAATGCAACAGAAAATTACTACAACTAAATATTGCTCTCCCTTTCTGTGAACCCTGTTAGAGACTAATTTCTCACTGTGCTTGTATGGCTGATGAAAAAAGCTGTGTGGGAAGGTGCTGCGTACCTGATTACTCCAGTCGTGTTCATTTCCTTATGAAGAGATGGAATGTGAACCTTCTCCATTTGCAGAGACCAAAGCATATTTTGGACATGTTTATACTGGAATACGTTTATACTGAAGTATTTGCAACAGATAGAGTTGTCTTTTTGTTTGCCCTGCTTAAACTCCCACCACAGAAGCTTATTCATGCTTTCTGTGGCTAATGCCAAATGATGAAACTTTCAGGACTGCTTGGAATTCACCTGGTTTTTATTGCAGTGGTTTCAAGGTGGTTTTCCATCCTTTTCAACAGAAGCAGAGCAGTGCTGGGCGCATGAAAAGCCTGCATATTGTGTACGTCTTCATTATGGAAAAGATTTACTCCTTATTTCCAGTTGCTTGTAGAGATGAACAATTACAACAGGCAGAACCCAGGAGTGTTTTCAATGTCAGTAAAGAAGACATAAAAGACCAATTAGCACTTAAAAGGTCAGTGCAGAAATCAGCACGTGGCACTCCAGATTCATGCTGGTTTAATGGCAAAGCTTCTCCTCTAGTTGTTCTGCATTTTGCATGCTACAGTTAAAGTGAAATCACCCCTACCTCTGTGGGAAAGGGAGGGCTGCGTTCTGTTTGCTTATCCATCCCGACGGGGTGCTTGGCTTCCTGAGAGCAGTGGTGATGCAGCAGGTTTGCTCTCAGCCGGCAGCGTTATTTCGGGGCACCGGGCAGACTGCCAAGCAGCAGCTGCCTTTGCCAAGCACCTTGTTTGGAGCAGTGACTGCTGAGCACTTCTATTTGGGGAATGGAGCAAGGCACTCGGCAGGGCTCGCAGCCTCCCAGCCTTCTCTGTAAGAGTCCCTGTCCACTGGCACCAGTGGGCAGCCAGGAAAGTTCTCCTGAGAAAGCAGTTTTTCCTGGTGGGAGTGGAGAAACCACAAAGAGGCACATTTGATTTTCCTACTGTTTCTCACAGCGGCAGTGGTATGCTACCCCTCCTCTTTCTGCCTTTTTCTCTTGTTGTCACCTCAGCCATCAGCTATGGCATCTGCTGAGACCCCCATGTACCAATGGGAGCCACTCTGTCACCTTCCTCCCTACTTACCTCCTCCAATTCAACACTGACCTTCTCCTTGCTCTCCCTGCCAAGGCAGGTAGGTCTTGATGCAGCTCTGGGGAGTGTCGGCAGCCCCTCCTGGCCTGATGACTCCTCAGTCCCTGGTCCATGGCACCTTAGGGTTACGCTGAGCTACTGGTGAAGATACAAAAGGTCTTAGCCTGGTGTAGATCATAGCAGCAAAGTGACAAAAAAAAAAAAGAGGGAGAAGGATGATCAGCTACTCTGCATTTGTGGATTACCAGACTATCCCTGTAGAAACTGTGTTTTGTTTTGGTAGCCAAAAGGCCCTTTGTAAACTCCTGGCAAGCTTTTTTATTCCCTCACAGGGAAGGAGTCAGGAGTAACTCCGTTAGCAGCAGTGCCAGAGGTCTGCAGAACAAGTCTGCTCATGCCAGCAGGCACCTCAGTGAGCACAGAAGACATGGGTGCTACAGCAGGAGGAGAAGCCTTTCTGTCCAGCACTGCTTCCCGCAGCAGTGCTCCAGCAAGGACATCATGGCCTGTAGCTATGACCCAAGCACTGCTTCCTCTAGATCTTGTCCCACAGCAGATAAATAATAGGGCTTGAGCTCCAGCCTCCTTGGCCTGTTAAAACCTGCAGCTCTCAGTGATTCTAAGATGGATAATCAGACCTGCGGGTGCATAAACACGCAGGTCATGCTTCCTTGGCCCCACCTGCCGTGATGTCTTCTGACACACGGGAGCAGCTTGCTTGGAAGCCACCAAGGGGGGTTAAAGGCAGACCCCTGACCAAACCCATTTCTGAAATCTGGCTTATTTGGTTTTGCTTTCCAGAAGAAAACCTGTAACACTGCATTGGCCAGGCCATGGGAAGTCAGCGATTTGTGAGCGCAGGTTTGTGCTGAGAGCAGCATGTCCTCTGCTGGGCACTCAGTTATTCCAGCCAGTGCTGAAGCATGTGGTCCAGAGCTCACTCAAGGCTCAAGAGTGAATTTCTTAGTTTTTTTAGGTGCTAGAAGTGTATGAACAAGTGTATGAACAATCCCAGTCCCTTGACTGGGATTTCTCACACATCCTTTGTTATCATCTACTTCTGATTTCTCTGCTTGTTCCCTCTAGCCTTCTTCCTGTCCTTTTGCACTTTCTTTTGCTTCCTGAAACTTCTCTGGATACCAGCATGCTGTGTGTCACGAGCACAAAATGCATGTGCCTTTGCTGCCTGATCAGTTGCTAACAAAGCTGTATTCATTTCATGCAAAAGGTAGTTACCCAGGACTATTTTCCAGAAGCCCTTTTTGGTTTTGTTTGATGTTACATGATCCTGGAAGCTGCCTGTCCCAAGCAAGGTGGAGCTTGCAGGAGGGCAAACCTGCAACTGGTGATACCATTCCCAGTAAGGAATGCAAGACAGATTTTTGAAGAGAGCGTAACTATAAAATAATTGCAACACTGGGAGGACTTTCTGTGGTGAAGGAATGATTAATTTTCACTCTTGCTTCTTTCTTCCTGGTCTCGCTTTCTTACTTCAGCATTTAAATATATGGGGCATCCTTGTGTTAAGTGATTGTTCTGAACACAGCACAGTGCTGAAAATCAAGCTCCATTTCAGTTCCTTCATCTGCTGCCTATTATAGCATACTTGCCACTTCAGTTAACAGCCTGTGAAGCAAAACAGAAAACAAACTGTCCCTCTGTATCTATGCTTTCTGTGAAGTGCTGACAAGAAGGAAGATGCCTGTAGATAAATGCAATGTATATGACTTAGAAGATATAAGTGGAGCATTAAAGGGCATTTTTACAGTGTAATTATTATATCCAAGCATGAAACAATATTTACCTAATGACAGAAGCCTCCTCTTCGTGCTGGTTAGCTCATGACAAAGCGGTGTTGGAATCCGCCTCCATCCCCTCAGCAGACAGGAGCTGTGGACAAGTTTGCTGAGGTTCATGTTGGCTCACATAGGTTGCTCACAAAACAGCTCTCCAGCCCAAGAGGATTTCTCCATCGGCAGCCAGCAGCAAAGCCCCTTTCCAGCATCTGGGTGTGCATGACACCCGGTGCTGGAATGTGCTCCTCCGCAGCCCAGCTTTTAACTTGAAGCTCTGGCAGGGCGCTGGGTAGCTGTGGCTCAATGACACAGAGCTGCTGAAAGTCAGTCACTTCGTTTGGGAACAAGGGGAAGCCCGGCACATTGTTCTGCTGCCTTTGCCTCCAGCTCCCTCGCGATATAAGCACAGAATATACATACCCGTGATAGCAGCTAGAGGAACATGGACTTACAGCATAGAGGTCACCCCTACGCGATACCAGAGGATGAAGAGATCGCTCACAGGGTCTCTCACAATGCCTACAACTCGGCGGGAAATGAAGGCGAGAAACCAGTGTCGAAACTGCAGCGTAGGCACAGTGACATTAAACTCTACAAAGAGTTTTGTGACTTCTACGCAAAATTGTAAGTCCGCGCTGTTCAGCTCTGGGCTGTAACTGCAGTGACATTATTGGCATACCGTCGCTGTGTTTTTTACCGTCTGGGCTCTGTAAGCCATACTCTAAGGCAGCCTTTGCCACAGTTCTGTGTTTGATACGTTGCCAGTTGTAATCATCAACTAAAATTTGAGCTGGTGCCGTGAACTTAATCAGTAATTGCGTCAGAAGTTTTTATTGGGGTTTGAAGCAGGGTTGGTATTTGCCAAGTAGTCTCTGACTTCAGATTGTTTGCTTGTTTTGGGCAAACGTGCAGACTGTTTCACTAATGGAGGACTGTTGCATGCATCACTGTTTTTACATACGTGTTTTTACTTGGATTACATTTTTTCTCTGACGGCACTTAGCATTAAATAACTTACAAGTTTAACATCCTTAATACTCAGGAACTGGTGAGGTGATGGTGAGGCTCATGGTTTATGTTGTGATTACTGCTCATTCAGATTAACTCAGGGTGGGTGAAATGTCTGGCTTTTTTCCCCCTGCAGAAAACATATGTAATCCGTGTAGCCCATTGGCTAACTGTGTGCTTAACTACACTTTATACACACGATCACTGCCGCTTTTCAATATGTTGATCTCTTAAGTGTGAAATAGACTGTTCCTCAGTCTGACCTCCTTCGTGAAATTTGGCCACTCACTGTTTTGCTGTAAGGACAGTGAGTATTTTGATAGCAGAATTGTCTTCTGCAAAGTGCTCCTGAGAGAGAAAAAAAAGATACAGCTAATAATAACTGGTCGGATGTGACCTTGTGTAGGGCTCTTCTGTGGTACAGTGTAAGCAATAGATAAAGCACATTCCTTTTGGAGCTATGTGGTAGGTGTATACTTGCTAACTCGAATGTTGTGCAAGGACTGAATACAATTCCTGTCAAGCCTGAAGGGAGCCAAGAGGTGTTATCTGCTCAGAGGGCAAGTCTTGGCATCTTACACAGGACCCAGCGCTCCGCACTGGCAAATGCAGCAGATTGCTTTACTATATCCAAATCTGTGCCTGTGTGTAAAATAATGTCCCAGTGATTGTCCAGACAGTGCTTTTGTCACTTGTGGTCAGATTGTATGAAACTAGACTATTGCCCTGTATTTGCTCTCTGCTATCAAGTGATATTAGGGCAGAGAAATAACCCTGAAAGGCATAGCTTTGAGAACCCAAGTATTAGTAAGAAGGCACTTGCAAAGGACAAGAAAGTGACCCTTTTTTGGTACTAGAGCCTTAAGTGTAAGACAGCTGTACTGACTGTTGCATAAGTGAACACAATCCTAGTGAAGTTGCAGTCCCCCTGATATTTTCACACTCATTCTATGGTCACATGCCTTTGAGAAGCAATCAAGATTGCTTTTTGAGGTTTTCTTTTTTTTTTTCATCACCAGTTTTTGTTGCTCTGTGCCTGGGTTATGGTGGAGCACCCCAGCAGCTAGAGCATTCCCACCTTCTCCTTGTCCTTGGTCTGGTGCTGGGGTGCTGTGACCTGCTTTTATGGAGATGAACCCTAACAAACCAACCAAAAACCCTATGACTTTAAACTATTATTTCTACAAGTTGTATATGGCTTGAAGTGATTTTACAGATTTGATTGTTTACCTGCTGTGGTTTTCAGTAATCTGCCAGACAAAATATTTTAAACTCTTCCACGTTGCTTGCTTATAGCTTTTGAATTAATGTTGTTGTATGCTCATATTCTAGAATTCTCGTATTCTAGAATTATGAATTATTTCAGAATTAACATTTATATTTTCTAGTGTGAAGTCCTCAATTATTGCTAACATTTGACCTTATTTTCCGTAATTCAAATGTGTTCCATGACTTTTATATTAGTTCTTTGAATTACCTGCCTTTTCTCATCATAAAGAGACAGCAAATTCATCTGTGACAATAATCAGTAGTTATTAGAGCACATTGTGGGGTTTTTATTTCCAAAGTGTTTGGAGCCAGAGGGAAACAACAGTTTTATTTCTAAGGGAGCACCACAAGTCATTGAGTTCATTGAAAAGTTTTCAGTGGGCAGCCTAGCATAAGGCTGATGCCATTGGCTTTGGAAAAAAATAGAGAACCAGAATCAGTTGTGCTGCCTTTGGGGCTCATTTTCTTTCTGTTTCTTGTTTTTGTACAGCAACATGGCAAACGCACTCGCAAATGCTATCTGTGAGCGCTGTAGAGGGGGCTTTGCACCAGCAGAGAAAATTGTCAACAGCAATGGTGAGCTGTACCACGAGCAGTGCTTCGTGTGTGCCCAGTGCTTCCAGCAGTTTCCTGAAGGGCTCTTCTATGAGGTAAGCTGGGAGAAGTAACTGCAGACTGATCGATACCTTAGCAAGTGTTGTTGAAGAAATGGAGTTCCAAAAGATTATGCCTGGTATAGGGGAGAAAAAAGAAGAAATGTTTATGTGGCTGTTTGAAGTATATCAGTGTGTATAACCTTATTTAAGTGTGTAACTTAGTGTTACTAGGGCTGAGAAAAGAACTCTTGGAGATTTCTCTCCCTGTGCGTGTTTTTTTTTCCCTTAAAATCTATAGACTGTATATTGTATCAGAAATACAGGAAAAGCATTCTTCTTAGAAGAGAGTCATCAAAGGGAAATCCCAGCATCCTGCAGTCTTTAGGAGGTTTATTGCTGAGTGAGTGAGTGAGTGAGTGAGGCCTGCACAGCTTCTGAAATACTGTTTGTAGAGATGACTTGTAAGCCAGCGTGCTGAGATTGAAGTGTGTTGACAGCCAAAATCAGATGATGCCTGAGTCAGGTAAACCCAGCATTTAATATACCCCACTCACCTTTCTTTAACCCTACGTGTAAGGAAGGGTAGATCATGGCAGACAGGTTTTATCATTATTATTACCTGAAGCTTGTGGATGGCTAGCTGAGGTTCAAACAGATTAAAGGCAGAGTTCTCAAAATTGTCAAATGTTTAGTTGCTTCTGAAAATCCTGTTCTAACCCACTTCACATGCAGTGCCATCATTGCATCAAGAGCACATTGCATTTTCCACAGTGGTGTTTTTAATTATACTGTATGGTTTGGAGAAGGAGACTGGGCGAGGAGTGTTAATTGGAAAAGGAGGCTGGCAAAGGGGATTCCTGGTCTTGCTTTCTCTCACCTTGCTTGAGGATCAAAAGGTTTCTCAGTGCAGTAGAGATAGTGTTGAACGATTTGTGGCAAAATGAACCAGCAGTGGTCCATGACACATCAAAAGGTGGGCTGCAAAACAGTAGCAATTAAGGAAAGACAAAACAGAACACCCCTTAGATACTTACACCTTGCATTATTATTGTTAGTATTCCATGGGTTGCTCCCTGCTTGCAGGCATGGTGAAGAGTCTGCCGTGACATGTTAAGACCTGAGTCAAATATGAAGTGATACATACGTTTTAAAAGTAAAACATCTGTTGATAAAACTGTCTTAAAAGAATAAAATGTATTTTCTCTAAATAATGAGCACTTTATTCATCCTTTTTCTGACTCTCAAATAACAGTGGGACCATCCACGGACCTCTTTCAGAAAGAGGAATGGTCTTCTGAGGCAGCCTGTACCTCCTAAAGCACAGATAGAAGTGGGCTGCAGTGGAAAGAAAGTTTTATGTTTGCACCTGGTCTAGGAATGTTGCAACCTTTCTGTTGCTCATCAATGACCATAGCTGTGTGACCTATTTGGCAGGGGCAAGCGATCTGATGGTTTTTAGTTACATTGTTAACATTTGTATTCATTAAGTCAAAAGTGAACGCTCAATGGTTGTTTTGGGAATAAAAGAAGGCTGGTGTACTTATTAGATATGTTTTTGTTTAAATTGCTAATTATTTTTTTTTTCAGGTTAGGTTGAGGTTTGCAGTGACTTTGTTCTTGAGAAATTTTACACAGAAAGTGGAAAGTTTAAGTTAAAAAAAAAAGTGATTATCAAGACTAAGAGAATACCCAAAGACTTATGTGTAGCTTGAACTTCAGGCCATTTTTCTGCCTCAAGTCCTTCTAATGTCTACCACAAGATCTTGCAGTTTCTCCCTACATCAGCAAGTCTATCTGCTGCTGTTGAAGAGAGATACTTTCCAGTCTCTGTAAGTGCTCTGACAAGCATCAGAAGATGGTTCATAAATATCACTCAGCCTTCCACCCACATTTATATTGGCTTGTACAGAGTGAATATCCATACTGTGCTAGCCCCTGTGCCTTTTGGGCAGGTTAGAAATGTTTGACAGTGCATCTGCACTCTCCAGATATTCCATGCTGCCTTCACAGCTTTCACTTAGCACTGAAGTGGTCCTGAGATTGCAGTGGAAACCTTGGCACAGTTTTTGTGTAGCTCATGGAGAAGTGGAGGCAAGCTTGCTCTTCTTTCATGCAGTGTGGTTTAGCACCTCAGCATGTGTGTTGGGAATATACCAGCTGAGAGCATTTAGGGGAGAGAGAGGAACAGGAACAGCCCTAAGCAGATAAAGGATAAGCTTAGGTTGGCCAATGGTCAGGAGATGGCTGGCAATGAGTAACTGAGGTGATCTGTTATCTCTGTGAGGAAATAGTGACTGAAGAGGGCAGTCACTCACTCTACTCAGTGCTAGTGCGGTCTCACTTAGATTACTGTGTGCAGTTTTGGGCACACAACATAAAATGGACATAAAACTATTAGAGAGTATCCAGAGAAGGGCTACAGAGATGGGGAAGGGTCTGTAGGGCAAGATGCGTGAGGAGCAGCTGAGACCCCTTGGTTTCTTAAGCCCAGAGCAGAGGAGACTGATGGGGAGTGGGCATAGAACAGGCTTCCCAGGGCAGTGGTCGCAGCCCCGAGCTGCCAGAGTTCAAGGAACGTTTGGACAGCACTCTCAAACAAAAGGTCTGATTTTTGGGTGGTCCTGTGTGGAGCCAGGAGATGGACCTAGTGATCCTTGTGGGCCCCTCTCAATTCCAGTTGTGGTTGGACTAGATGATCTTGCAGGTCGTTTCCAACCTTGCGATTCTATGATTCTATGATTCAGGATATTCTATGGTTCTAAGGAAGAAAAGATATCTTCCTTGGACTGGCTTAATGAACACTTTAAAAAGATGCATGTGGGGATGTGGACAGGTAATGTGTTTTTCTGAGCAGGTTCCCTGTTGGTAAACACATGCATTGTTGTTAGCCCTGCATTAGATGATGTTTATTCTGTGCCCAGTTCAGCTAAGCTAGAGTTTCTTGGAAAAGACTTGGGGAGTTTAAATATTCTTCCTGTGCCTATCGCAAGCATTGCAGAGTTTCCCCAGTTAGTCATTAAACCGCTTATCACATTTGCACTCAAGTGCTGCCATAAGTTTTCATGCTCTGCTCCACCATGGTGAGGCAGAACCGGTTAGGCTACTCAGGAAGCAAAGCTGGTATCTCTGCAGAATGCAACAGAAGGCTGCTTTCTCTGCAGTTGCCATCAGAGAGTTTTATAACAGACAGCAGTGCACAGTTCAGTACTGACAGTGGAATAACAGCCCATTTGCATGGGCAGCTTTGGTGACACCTTGCCCAGAGGGACTGGTTTGCCCCATTGCAATTACTCAGTGGGCTTTTTCACAAGACCTTGCTACTCTGGACTTCAGAAATGGAGACCTCCCTAGAGGTCCTTCCCAGTGGGAACTGTGGGCACCTTGCTTTCAAACAGAGGTGAATACTACTTGTAGCACAGCCATTTGTTAAAAACCCTTTTGGGACCCTTACGAGCCTCCCAGGAGCCCTTGGGCATCTCTCTGCACTGTTTCAGTAAAACGCCAGCCTCCTCTGTGCTGTGCTGGGGGAGGGAAGATGGAAGGGTTTAGAGACACGCATCCCACAGTAGAAGAAATGCAACAAAATCCTTATGAAGCTACCTTTTTGTTTTTGTGTTTCTAATAATCTATAACAGAATAGAAGGAAAGTGCAGTTGCAGTGAACTTCTCACATTTATTTCTATTCCATTTCAACCTGGAGTGTTTTCTTTAATTGAGCTTTACCAGAAACTACCCTAGAGGAAGCATCTGTAAAATAATCGGGTTTTGCGCAAGTCTTTCCAAGTTATAGGTTAGTAAAGATGTGGAAATCAGCTGGAGGTAATGTTGTGGTGAAGTGTCCTATGCAGAACCATAGAATTAACGGACCTCCACCATTCAACAGTCCAATGACCTTGCTGTTAAAATCTATGCTGTGTCATTTCTCTCAAAAATTTAAGACTTTCTCTAATGGAGGAGCTGCTGGATCATCCACAAATGCTGCACAAACAAGCCAAGAATGTTGAAAATAGAAACAAAAGCAAATAGTAACCAACCTGCCTGACAGAAACCTGTTTTGTCTGCCCAGATCAATTTGTGGCTCTGAAATCCAAGCAAACATGTGCATCTCCCAATGTACCAGCTGTTTACACAAGGCTGGAAGCTTTCTGATGGTGGTTTTTTTTTTCAGTTTAAAAAGAATTACATTTGGCAGGAAGCAAGCACAGTTCTCAATGAACTAATAGTTACCATTACTCTTTGAGACACTAATAGTCCTCTGTCTCTTAATTAAAAAAACAAAAAACCAAAAAACAACACAAACAATACTTCCAATTAAAAAGTCATCTGTTTTAGAGTATTAAAAGCCCTTGATGAGTTGCTAGAATAGGCTTCTGGAAAGAGACCATGCAGCACGCATCTTTCTGATCCTTGTGTAAGTGAGATTCAGGCTGGGCACAACAATTAAGTTTCTGATCTCACGTTTTCAGTGATTTCTAAGTGGTGATGGTGGCTGCATGAAATCCTGCCAGTGGTTCTGTATATTGCACTGTATTACTGTACTTATGTTTTATTTGATCCTTGAAATTTCAGAGTGCAAAAGGATATATATGGCTGTATTTTCTATCCATGCATCAAAACTTAATTTGTGGGTCATATGTTACGCTATTTGCTTTGTTTTGTGTTAGATTCAGTACAAAGAAAGGAGTGGGATTTTCCTGCTGTGCTTCTTTCCAGGTTTTTTTAACTTAAGACATTCAAATCCAAACATATCTAATATTATCTGTCTGGTTTTAACATGCTGGCTGGCATATGTGTGTACCAGTTGTGTGCCTGAAGGTATCTAAACATTTCCCATTGCTTTAGGACATACTTGTCTACATGTTCTTACATATTCCTCAGTTAGATTGCTAGTGCAGTGCCATACAATTTTTCTTCCAGATGGTTTTTTTATTTTCCTGTATGAGCATGACCTGCAACTGAACTTCTCTAAGCTCTGAGAAAATTCAGCTCTAAATCACTTCAGATCAGCTCCTTATTCCAGCCGATTCAGAGAATTTTGTTCTTTAAAATTTCCTCAAACAAACATCGTGAAGGAAAAGCATGATTTCTGTTTGTGTTTTGCCCGCAGTGCTCCATGAATTGCAAAGTTTCTGTCCCTGGGTGTTCTTCCTTCCCCTAGACTTACTTCCTCCAGTGCGCTGGGCCATTCTTACAGGAAACACAGAGTGAGGAAGGGATCAAATGGGTTCAGGGAAAATGCTTCCCCCCAGGAAGAGTTTTCAAAAGCTAATTTCCTGCATAGAATTCTGTCTGCATCAGATTTTCGTTAGTCTCTCAAAATTCAGGCATCTGTGGTCATATAAAAGAAGGTGGGTTACACTCTCAGCAATACTAAAGGAATAGTGTTGTATTAACAGCAGTATTTGAACTAAGGTGGGTGAATTTCATGCCTCTTTTTCTAGCACACGGTCAGGTTTGCTTATAATGCAGCTCCTTATCCTCTACTATTCAGTTGCTTGTGAAAACAACCTGCTATGTTACAGTATTTATGTCAAGGGCATGCTCCTAACCTCTCTTGCCTTGTTTTCCATTTGCAGTTTGAAGGGAGGAAGTACTGCGAACATGATTTTCAAATGCTTTTTGCCCCTTGCTGCCATCAGTGTGGTAAGTTTTACATTCAGGTGAAATATTTCACACTGATCACAAATGGGAAGTCAACATATGTTGCCGGGGGAAGATGTGCAGCCCTGTTGTATCTCCTCTGGGAGATGGCCCCACACAGCAGAGGAACTTTCAGAATGAACTTCAGTGAACTTAGGGAGCTGCTTTTCCTAAAGGTCATCAAACAGTAGGTTGAAAAAAAAAAAAAGGTTGCATTATTTGCATGAGTAGTTTAACTGTTCATCCAGTGAGTCAATGAGCAGCCCATTCATGAGCTCCTGATTTTCTGCATCCACATGCATGTACTCACGTGTTCCTTCTCATGCAGCTGAAACCCTCTCGCAACTCTTAATTTGTTTTGACCACTGTAACCTATCCTTGCTGTCCTCCTCTATAGAAGCAGAGGCAGTCTTTATCATCTAGTGATATCACCAGCTTTCTATTTTTGACACAAATTCCTTTAAGTCTTCAGCATCTGTTGTCTACCCTGTGTAACACTGAGGGCTGTATTTTATTTGTTGCTATTGAGTAAATGCTTGCATGTCTGCTACACTGTAATCAAATGCAAGTTTTCTTTTACACCACATTTTCTGCGTGTGAGACATTTTGCTTGGTCAGGGTTGAGAAGTCATTGCTGTACCCTTGCTTGATCAGGTATGGAAGCTCTTATTTTTCTGAGGCACCTGGGCAAGCTGCTACAACTTTCACTTATCTTAGGAAGTCCTTTCCCTTGTGCAGAGGGTGTGGTTGGATGCTGGAAGGAGGGGAAGCAGATGTTCTGGACCTTCAGATTTACAGCTGCAGATTTGAACAAGCAGGGGAAGAGGAAGAGCTCAGTGGTGATATCTGAGTGAACTTGAAGTGTGTGACAAACCAGAAGGAACTGCTTTGTTCCTTCTGCAGTCCAGTCACTTCCCAAGCGTGAGGGACCTTTGTGTTCCTCCAGTTACTCTGCAGTCTCCCTTCTTTGTTCTCTTCCTGCTCTTGTGTGCCACAGCTTCCCCTTTCCCTTTACTGCTCTTGGCCTGGAAAGGACTTTTGTGAATCCTCCTTTCTAACCCCTTGAAACACAAAGCACAGCTCTTCCTGCATACCAGCATTGTCCATCCATGGCAGGGCTCTGTTCCTCTCCGGTTGCTGATCTGCTCCTGTCACTGATCTGCTCCTAGCTTCCCTTTGGTGAGTTTGGCAGAGGGAACTTCACCTCTGCGGCACTCAGAGAGACCAGAAACTGTTCTGGGCTCTGGCAAGTTAATGGAGGAGCTACACCATGTATCTTCAGGACTTTTCCTGCCCAGCTGCCACAGCCCGTTAGTTTCTGTTGCTTCTACTCAATTTTACGCTTGAAAAGCTATGACTTCATGGGAATGAATAGCATGCCACAGACTTGCATGCTGGACTTCATTTCATTGGTATCTGTTATCTGCCTGATGGCTTCTCTTTGACAGCTGTTTGATTAGTAGGCTCTTTAGAGCCAGGATTCAGCCTTTCACAGCACCAGGAAGCTGAGCTCTTGACATGTTTTAGGCAGTGTTTGCACTGCTCAGGGGCCATGGCTGCAATGTGTATGCAGAGAACAATGTGCACGCTTGGCATGGCTGTGCAGTAGAGAATATGGAATGGTAGTTTTCTCACTTTTTCAGTGCCTCACAGGACAGGACTATGCGATAGATCAGAAATGGCTGTGTGTTGGATTTACTATTTAGTAAGTGCATTCTCCTGCTGTATCTTCGTACTTTGACTCCAGTTTTCTTGCAGTAGGGTCAAGGCCGCTCAAACTCAGTTCTGTTGTGCTTTGAATTTGGAGCCCTTTCAAGGCTTGATTATAGACATAGCGGAGTAGAAGTCAACACTGTGTCAATGACAGTTCCAAAATACCCTTTTCTGGAAGAAGAGAGAAGCAAAAATGATTATGTAATTCTATGATTCAGTGGCAGGCTTCTTTTAACTTTGTGTAGCATGGTATTTTACATCCTGTTACTGTATTTCCTACAGGTGAGTTCATTATTGGCCGTGTTATTAAAGCTATGAACAACAGTTGGCACCCGGAATGCTTCTGCTGTGATATCTGCCAACAAGTATTGGCAGATATTGGATTTGTCAAGAATGCTGGCAGGTGGGTCTTCACCCTTCCTTCTGTCACTGATGATGATGAAAGTGAAATGAAAGTTGGGAGGGATGTAGAGGTTATGGTTCCTACAGCTTTCCTGCTGAGATGGAGTAACTGAAGTGTCTTCTATGAGAAAAAGGTCTAAGAATGCATCATAAAACTGAGAGTGGATATCTTAAAATATGCACATAAAATATTAACTACTGATCTACTTCTTCATCAGGTGTCAAGTGTGTATTTTGTACCTGGTGGTGTTTCAGGATGGGTAGGATACTGTGATGGACACTTAGAAATGAATCAGATGCAGAAGGATTGTCATTTTAAAATAGGTGTTTCTTATTCCAACATGGGTTCCCAATTTGAGTCCAGTGTATCACCCTATTCATTAATAAATACTCTCACTTCAGTGGGATCCTTCATGGATTTTTTTAAGTAGACTATGTAGCCATTGATTTCATATTTTTAATGTGATACACAGAGTTATTTACAGAGTTAGGGCCAGTTTTGTCATCCAGCTTCCACTCTAAATGTTTAAGAGTTTGAGGGTAAAGCATTAAATTGAAAGGAATTGAACAAACGATACTTCTGTGGTGACAGAAAATAATATGCCTTCTTCTGAGCTTGGCTTTGCCTACCAAAGCAGTTGTTTTAAAGCCTTTATTCTACTCCACAAAAGAACTGATAGAAATGAGTTTCTATTAGATGCTTGATTTCTATTTTTTACCTAGGAACAGGTGCTGGTACTTACCTGTCTTCTTCTATGTCGTTGCAGACATCTCTGCCGTCCCTGCCATAACAGGGAAAAAGCCAGAGGCCTGGGAAAGTACATTTGCCAGAAGTGCCACGCCATTATTGACGAGCAACCCCTCATTTTCAAAAATGATCCCTATCACCCTGATCATTTCAACTGTGCAAACTGCGGGTAACTTGAGTTCCACATAAGAAAACAGGAGAATGCTGGTTTTATTTGTTTCACCACTTGCACGTTAAAGTGGAAACCAGTCCTGTACAAGAGGCCAAAGGGATGAGTTCTGAGTGCCTTGCTGCCAGATACGTGTCTGGTTACGTCTCCTGGGTGGTAGAATTGGGCCTTCCATTCAAACAGCGGGTGATCTGTTGGGAAGTGAGGAAAGACTGTAATGTGCAGCACAGAGTATCTTAGGAAATAGGAAATCTGGGCACACATCATTGACGTTATTTTTCTGCTATAAAGGGTGGAAAGGTGGTCTTTTTGGGCTGCTTCAGTCATTACCTTGCCTATGTTCTTTCTTTTTATTTGATTTTATTTGCCCAAAGTATGCTTTTCTTTTAAGCTTTCTCTCACCTCATTTTGTCAGCTTCTGCAGCTGCAGAATACGTAGCTGCGTGTTTCTACATCCCCCACTGATGCGTGGATCAGGGGGCACTGTAGGATACAGCACACGTTATTTGTTGTCTATTTTGTACTACAAAGGAAGCTGTCCTTTCAGGATCATAGCAGAGGCTGATTTGAAAAACAACAGTAGTATTGTGCCAGTGCTATTGTCAGCTTATGTTATTCTTTCTCTGATGTTTGGTATCATGGAGAAAATGCAGAGGAGTGCATTTTCCTTTCAGTTACATTTATGTAAATCCAAAAGATACTGGTGCAAAGAGAGGCAGAATGCAAGCCAGGCATGACTACAGCTTTCTAACTGTGTGAAAAAAGTTCAGTAGCTGTTTTCAGAGAGATTTGATGCATCCTACTTAGCTGGCTTTCCTTAGTTTTCTGTGGAATCAATCAGTCTTGTTTAAGAAATAATCGTATCGAACTGGCATATTTGATGCTGCTAAATACATTATTGTAGTACAAATACAGTTCCTAAAACAAGTGCTAAAAATTAAATGATCTCTACAGAAGCTCTTGAGTTGAACTTGTTCAGTTCCTTTATTCATGCTCTCAATTAATGAATTTCTGAACAGGAAGGAACTTACTGCTGATGCTCGTGAGCTGAAGGGAGAATTATATTGTTTACCCTGCCATGACAAAATGGGCGTCCCCATCTGTGGAGCATGTAGAAGACCAATTGAAGGACGTGTGGTGAATGCTATGGGCAAACAGTGGCACGTGGAGGTAAACATCAGCTGACACGTTGTCTTGCACAAATGTAAATGTTAACTTACTTAACTGGAATATGGCCGATCAGTTTCCATGAGAGGATTAGGAAAGTATGCAGCAGTGGTCAGCAAATGCATCTCCTAATCCCATTTTCAACCTTCTTGTGTCTGATCTTCCACTGAGAAAAGACTTCTGCATGCGGAGCTAAAATCAGCAGTCCAAGGAAGCCTTGCAAGGTCCATGTAGAAGAAAATGTCCCCAAGTGAGAAGCAGGAGATACAGAAAGGCCGTCAAGTTCTGTGACAAACGTAATACTAGTGGGCATTGTAATATTTCTGTGGTTTCCATTTACTTGCCATGTAAATATTTCTAAAGCAGTTTAGGTGGCAGTTCCTATTTCAAGTCCGTGTGCAAGATTTAGTTCTGAATCTTCCATTGAAGTTATGAAGATAAGCAGTCTTTGTTGTGAAATTCTCCTCCAGCAAGTGCTTTCTTCACGAGACGTAACAGTGGTGAAAATTATTTGATCTCACTTTATTCTGTCATTAATAACATATCAGAACCACCTCAGTGCATTTTTTTTTTTTCTTTTTTGGAAGTTTTGGGTTGAAATGTTAAAAGACAGTAAAAGGAATGTTATTTTAGTGGTCTAAAGCACAAAACAGTAGTTGTAATTGTTATTTTCGAGATGGCACAGTGACTCAGTAGGCTTTGGTCCTGTTCAGTAGGGATTGTTTGTTTGCTCTCTCAAAAAAAACCCACCGTTATTTACAAGAAATCCAAACTAAATCCCTAATTTTCTTCATAGCATTTCGTTTGTGCAAAATGTGAGAAGCCATTCCTGGGTCATCGTCATTACGAGAGAAAAGGCCTGGCCTATTGTGAAACCCACTACAATCAGGTAAGGTTGCATGTTATGGAAAACTGTAATTTTTAAACTCACCAACAGATTTTGTTAATGGGAGATGGAAAGTGAGAGAGATTGTTTTCTTATGATCACCTGTGAGTGTGAAGTTAACTAGTAGGTGTTCCACTGCAGGCAGTTTATATGGGTTTCTCTGTAGGTGAGTTTTGTATGGAAAAAAGAAAGCTGTGGGTAATTCATAAAGGAAAGCTGGGCTAATCAGAATCTAGTTGTTCTTCAAGCTTAGGTTTCTTATGTTGAGCCGTTTCGAGCTTTTGCACACCTCTAAGATCAGAGCAGCTGATGACACTCAGGTTTTCCCAAGAACATAAAGACCATTTGCCACTCAGGAGCTGGGGTTTAACACAAAGCCTTTGTGTAGCGTGGCCTTCCTTACAGCTGCAGTTCTGAGTTGACTGTGTGTTAAGATAGACTGCATCGAGCAGCTCTTTCATCCACTTGCTGAAGACCTACAAAGGCAAAATTTGTCCGAGGGCACCACCTAGTGACCACTTGCATTTAAAGCAGAGATCCATGGGGTTGTACCGTTTGCCTCCAGACTCCCTGGATTGTGCCGTCCAGCACCATAATGGATAGACCTTTCTTCTTTGGAAGCCAAGTGCAAGGTGTCACGTACACATCTTTGCTTGGATAAATAAGGGAGGATTACAGGTGGGAGTTGTAAGGCATCTGCTAATTACAGATGGATCCCAAATCTGTCAGTGACGAAGGGCAGGTGATTGAAATATTGCTGGCATCCCTGCAGACAAGAAATGCCATGGCATTGTTAGCAGTAGCACTGCAGTCATGATAGAGCAAGAACGTACACCGGGCAGGAGCTGTGTGTTGAACGGGTGTACAGATGTTCAGCTGGATGGTTACTAAAAGTGTGTGTGTGACTCTTCATTGCTGAATTTCAAACGTTCAGCATGAGGGAAACAGCAAAACAAAACCATATTTGTAGAGGGTCAAGGGGATGTAAGGAAATGTTTTCATCTTTAATATTCTAAAGACTTTTGATGATAAGATGATGCAAGATGGAATTGAAAACCAAAATCAGACTTGCCATCGTTCTCCTGTATTTAAACTGAAAGAAACAGGAAAGCGATTGAAATGCAGCTGAGAAATTACTGTCAATAAAATCATTACATTAAAAATTCATTGCTTCTCCTTCCTCTTCAGCTCTTCGGTGATGTATGTTTCCATTGCAATCGTGTGATTGAAGGAGATGGTAAGCAGTTCTCTAGCTTTTTTCTTAACGTTACGTTTTGATGAAAGTTCTTTCTAAAAGGAAGGAAGGTCCTTTGTTGAATCCCTCACTGCTCCCATTAAACCACAAAGAAGCATTCTCTCTATCAGAAACTAAAATGGATGTGATTAGTCAGAGGCCAAAGGGGAAGAAGACCTTCCAGCAGGTGTTTCATGATGATGGAAGATCATATGGGAGCTAAAGAGAACTGTGGTCAGCTGGAAACCTTTTAGTAATAACCAAAGGCCAGGGATGTTGAGAGATGCACAGGAGGCTTCCTGTCCCCACCAGCTTTCAAAAGGGACACGTACAACTGTGAGAATGACCACATAGGCATCTCCTCGAGTGAATTTAGGGATCATGACATAGATTTGGAAAAATATTTAGATACTGAACAATTTAGGTGGACTTTGTGAGGGTTTTTTTTTTTTTCCAGTGCCTACCTTCTATTGTTTCAGTTTGGTTCCTGGAGATATTGACCTATCTGTCACAGGCACCTGTCTTTTGAAAATAGAGGCTGATAATAATTTCACAGAACCAGGAAGGAATTGTACCTGAAAAGATCTGTGAAGCCATAACTGGAAGCCCCTTAATTTTGAGGAGGAGTGATTGTTTTGTAGCTTTTTGGACTGTCATCAATGATAAAATGCCATAAGGCAAATCATTCCACGTGCAGTCACATTATTTTGTTCCTAGCTACACCAGCCTGAAGTAAACACTGTAACACATCTTAGCCTGACCTAAGCCAAAGCCATTCTCGAAGTGGGAGGAAGCCTCTGCTACATGAAAGGAGCCATAAAGTAGTTCACAGCCATGTAAATATAGGGTGAGACCTACATCCCAGAAATGTGCTTTCCCCACCCTTTGGGACTGGACTCTGCCTGCAGAACAACAATCCGGAAGCGCTGTCCTCTGCCCTGAGATCCTGAATGAAGAGAACTGGGCCTTGGAGTGAAGGAGTAAATGCAGCCTTGTCTGATCTTCACCTCCCTGTGTGTTGTCATGTCATGCCATATAATCTGACTCTCGATATTGTACATTTCAATCACTGACCTGAATATGAAGTAGTAATTATTTTCATTGTGCATCCTCAATTATTCTACATTTCTTCTTTCATTTCTACACACAAATTTGACACTGCTGTCACAAATGATGAGTATCCAATTTTGTTTTTCCTCTCTGTCTGGTGAAACAAACTCTTGTGGCAGCAGTTTTTTAAGAGACTGCATTATTGATTGAGATCTCTTGTAAGCAGACTTTGCTTTGACTAGTATTATGTAGGCAAGCAGTGGAAGAAATGTAAGCATATGTGGATGTGATTGCCCCATAGTGTGGGAAAAGAAGTTTGGCTTTACAAAGTTCTGGTTCTGTTTGCTGCTGACAAAATGTAAGAGAAGAACATGGTCCTGAGTCATAGAATTGTAGCATCTTAGAATGGCCTGGGTTGAAAAGGACCACAGTGATCATCTGGTTTCAACCCCCTGCTATGTGCAGGGTCACCAACCACCAGACCAGGCTGCCCAGAGCCACATCCAGCCTGGCCTTGAATGCCTCCAGGGATGGGGCATCCACAGCCTCCTTGGGCAACCTGTTCCAGTGCGTCACCACCTTCTGTGTGGAAAAACCTCTTCCTAATATTGAACCAAAATCTTCCCCATCTCAGTTTAAAACCATTCCCCCTTGTCCTATCACTATCCACCCTCGTAAAAACCCGTTCCCTTTCCTATTTATACACTCCCTTCAAATATAGGAAGGCCACAATGAGGTCTCCCCAGAGGCTTCTCTTCTCTAGCTGAACAAGCCCAGTTCCCTCAGCCTTTCTTCATGGGAGAGGTGCTTCAGCCCCCTGATCATTTTAGTGGCCTTCCTCTGGACCAGTTCCAAGAGCTCCACGTGGAACTTTAGAACCTTACTCAGAATCCTTGATCTGTGGTTGGAAACAGAAGCAACATTTGGCAGGGAAAGGTGCCAAGGTATACTGAAAGAGAGGAGTAACTGCAAATTGAGGTACAGAACAAAGAGAAGACACTTCCTCTCCAAAGCAGAGCTGCGTGCCCTCTGCCAGACAGCTTTATCATTGCTTGAGTCCCACTGTGCAACAATCAGGTGTGCCTTCCAGGTCTTGCCTCATTATTGTTGCAGACCTTAATGCTTGCTACAAGATTCAAATGATTGTTTTTCACATTTCACAAACATTTGAGCTTAACTGTTACTTTTTTGGTAATGCTAATGATTTACTCTTTTTTTTTCCCTTGCTCTAGTTGTATCTGCTCTGAATAAGGCATGGTGTGTGAACTGTTTTGCTTGTTCAACCTGCAACACTAAGTTAACGCTCAAGTAAGTCAGTCGATAGGTGTGATGCCTTCAAAACGTATCAGTGGTTCTCTTTACAGTATTGGATGTTGCTATAGGTTTAACTGTTACAGTACAAAAGCCGTCTGAACAACACTGAGACAATGTGCCTGTGCCTTCTTCTTGCTCTGTTTACTGCTTGACATCTCTTTCAGCTGCCTGTTCCGTTCTTCCTTCAGCTCAGTCTTCTTAATTCTTCTCCTTTTTCGTCCTTTATTTTTTCCGCCTTTCACTCTGAAGAGATAAGTTTGTTGAAATTGATCTAAAACCTGTCTGCAAACACTGCTATGAGAAAATGCCAGATGAATTTAAGCGGCGCCTTGCCAAACGGGAACGTGAAGCGAAGGAGAAAGAGAAGCAGAAAAAGAAAAAGCCCATCTGCTTGTAAACTGCTTTTCTTCTCACCACCACCTGTGCTCCTTTCTTCTTTGGTCAGTGCTGCAGATGCTTTTACTTACAGTTTTTGCATGCGTTCATGGTTCACAGCCAAATATTTTTCACAAAACTGCAACTTGAAATACTGTTACTTTATTATTTTAAGCTCAGTTTGCTTAGCAATACAGCTGAGTTTGAAAGATTTTTTCAGAGACACAGTTATAAATGGGGCATAACTCAGAGTATTTCAGTCACGGTCTGCAATGTGTATAAGCTTCTGAAAGTAATTTCATACATACGTATAAAGTGCAGTTGCATTTTTTGTCTGCATGCATTTAACACAACCTTTATTTTCTTCAGGATCCCTTCCACTAAGACTTTGTTTTCTTGCTATGTCATTTTAGAAATAAATTTGTTGAGTTTGATATGAAGCCTGTCTGCAAAAAGTGCTATGAGAAGTTTCCTCTAGAGCTGAAGAAAAGACTGAAGAAATTAGCTGAAACTGTGGGAAGGAAGTGAAGACTTCTTCTGCTCTCCCCTTTCCTTATGAAAATGTTGTATCTGTTACTTGGGAGGGACTCTGAGGCTGTAATCAGACAACAGATTACAATGCGTGCCTTTCATCTTGAAATGCTCCATTCTCTCTGTGAGTACACGTACAAATACAGATTTGTTGATAAACAGACCACGCTTCTGTCAACTCCCCTGAGAGGTTTCTGACCCTGATAATGCACCCATACACGAGGGCCATTGAGCACAGTAATCTCTGAGGAATTTTAGGTTGAGAAAATATGCTTGTGAGTACCTGCAAAAGCACACTGTGCAAACAGGCCCAACGTTATGGGCATGCAGTGTCATTTATATTAATGAAAATATCAGCATGCAAATGGAGCATGCATACAAAATTCCCCGTGGCCTGGGCAAGAAACCAAACATACCTCATTTCCCGGAGAAAATAATGCTTAGATTTCAGGTCCAATAGTCCCACTGAGGAGCCTTGTTGAAGGTGGTTGAAAAGTACCGCATGGCTACACACAGTCACTGGACAAATGCCCTGCTTCCCATAGTTTGTACTTGCACGCTGAATCTCTGTACATCAGCCTTAGCATGAAATATCTGTATGAAGTCTAATTCCCACTGCAAGAAACAAGTGTACTCAGATCTACTTGAATTTTGCTGTATTCCATTCAGAATAACACATTAACTTTTATATAAGCTCTTGCCTTTGATTTCCTTTTTGTGCCTTATTCTGCCGGACCATATGTAACAGTGTTCCATTCAATGTATATCTATAGTTTTATTTGTATTTCTTATTTTTGTGCAGAAACTTTGTATGAGGTATTTTCAAAAGATAACAAAATTTGCCTTAATTATCCAGGATGCAAGAGGAACTTTGCTTCGGGTGTGAACACCTGAGGTTGAAGTTTAGCTTCTAGGCTTCCCTGACTTCTGGAACAGCAATGAAAAGGCGTATTTGAGTTAACTGGCAATATTACTTTTACACTGTGAGTGTAAATATGTGAAGGTTGATCCTACTGGGATCTGTTTCTTCAGCCATCTTCAAGAACTGTGCTCACAAATCGTCAGAATTCACTGTAGTATGCTTGGGCTTGCTTTATACTGTTGACTTCTGTCCCTGAAAGCTTGCTCTTCCCTTTTCTGTCCAAAATACCATTACTTAGGAATTCTTGATGGTACTGTTAGCAAGTATGCAAACCTTTTTTTTTTTTTTTTTTTTTTTCATATTAGAAACACAATTTTTATATCATTACTTCATAGCAAGCAAAATTTTCTTTCCTGTTTATGGAAAAACAAATGCTTTGGGACATCTTTCCAGTGTCATCAATAAAGGCTAATGTTATTAAAACCTGTATCACCTCTTTTATGCGAGTACTTGAGATGGGTGGAAAAGCATCCAGGCAGCCTTCCTTCACTCTGCTTCTACCTGTGACTGTCTACGTAAAACTCTTTTACTATCCTGACTTAGAGGAGACATCTGCCTGTCCTAAAAATGCACTTTAGTTTTTAGGTTTAAAAAATAAATTATCATTTGTTTCATAACCAACAGCTCGATTCTTCTGGATATTTTCTGATTGGCACTGTCACCAGGTTTTCTGAAAGAAAGTAAGTTCAAAAGCACATCTTCCTCCCAGATTTTGCTCTCTACTCGTTTCACTGTAGTGTAACTTTCATCCCAGACTTCCAATTTAGTGCTAGGTAGGGTGTTTTTTACTTCGTGATTATATACAGTTATCCCATGCAGTAACAGTTCAGTAGCAGAATGCAGTCATTACTGTGTTCATGACTGAAAATTTCCCCCCCAAAAATGTATGTAACAAGCGTAATAGTAACACTGTTGAGATTTTGGACTGTGACATGGATTCAGCCCATCAGTACTCAGCCATGATTCCTTTAAATTGTAACTCAGTTCAAGTGTGTTTGTTTTGTTTTGCTTTTCCACCTTATGCTGACCATATGCACAGCCTTACTGCTGAGAGAGCTGGGAACAATCCCTAACTTGAGGCTGCACAGTGAGCTCTGCCTCGCAAGGTCACATCCACACCTCACTCACAGTGTGTAGCCATCAGTCTCCCCTGGGCTCTGTGGCAGTCCTGGGGCCCTAACACAATGTTTTCTGCTGTTTCTTCAAGTTACTGATAGTGAACACGATGTGCAGTAGCAGCAAGGCAGTGGTTTCTGTGCCATTAACACAGGTGTGTGTTTCAGACCCCACAAATAGCATCGAGGCTGTCTTGGGGCTTCAAAGCCTGTTGCATCCCATAAAGATTTCAGAAGGAAGGGACTGTCAGGTAGTCCAAACATCTGCTCCAGGCAAGTGTGACTTTCAAAGCTTCATCAGTACTGAAAGTTTTATCTAGCCAAATTCTGAGCATCTCTAGGAAGAGATGATTTCACAGGCCTCTGTGGGCAACAGTTCCAGTATTTAATGACCTTCATGATGAAGTTTTTTTTCTGTCTTCTTGTTTCCCCAGTGGAATGTTGCTCAAATTCACGCTGCTCACTCAGCAGCTGTCTTTGGAGTAAACTGTCATTGAAGTAATAACCATGGATATTGTCATCAAGAGCATTAATTAAAAGAAGTGCAAAACAGAGCCAGGGAGTGAGCTAGCAATTAGGCAGCCTGGACAATTACAGGTCTGGTGTTGAAGTTCACTTCCTGGCCTGTCAGTGCTGTAAATCTTTCACATAGATGTACGTGCTTTGAGGCTGATTTTAGTACAAGAAAGACATTGAGACCCTGCAGTGTGTTCAGAGAAAGACAGCGAAGCTGTGAAGGGTCTGGAGCACAAGTTTTACAGGGAGCAGCTGAGGGAACTGGGGTTGTTCAGTTGTTCAGAGGATGCTCAGGGGAGACCTTATCACTCTCCTGATAAGGTGATGAACCGAAAGGAGGTTGTGGCGAGGTAAGGATTGGCCTCCCAGAGATAGGATGAAAGGGAATGGCCTCAAGTTGCACCACGGGAGGTTCAGATTGGATATTATGAAAAATTTATCCTCAGAAAGAGTGGTGAAGCAGTGGCACAGGCTGCCAGGGAGGAGATGCAGTCACTGTTCCTGGAGATGTTCAACAACTGTAGATGTGGCACTGTCACATCCCGCCCATAAGAGGAGGGAAAAGGTGACCAGATTCATGAATATCCCAGCTAGATTAAGGCAGAACAACGCACAGATTTCATAATACATCAACTTTAATGAAAATCTATGTACTACAATTATCCCATAATGCTGGCACTCTAACAGCACTTTAGAAAGCCCAGGGGAGGTACCTGCAGGAGGAAGGACCTGCGCCCAAAGCCTTTCTGCCTCTGGCAGCTGCGAGCCCTGTGCTCAGTTCCTATCAAGGCAGTCAGTGTTTCTTGGGTACAGCAGCAGCCTTAGGGCTTGGCAATGGTGGGCGGGGTGCATTTGTGATTCTCTCCCCATGAATGAGACTTCACTAACTTGCAGCTTGGTGGCCCCACTTTGCTTAGAACCGGCAGAAAAAGACATCAGCCCCTCCAGTGAGCAGCAGCCAGGACTCCCTGGCAGGAACTGAAGCACGGGGCGGCGCCGGTGCTCAGAACCACACAACTCAGAACATCGCTTTTTAAGCCCCGTCTTCTGGGTCGGCGCATCTCGCCATCTCACAAGCTGCTTCGGACAGAAACCAATTATTTCTGCTACTCGCGGTGCCTGGAAGCCAGAGCTCAAAACTCGTCGTCCATGAATCCAAACAATAACGCGTGATCGATGGCTGGCGGGTGACGCTGACATTGGCGGTGACGCAGCACGTCCTCACAGGTGAGGAAAACACCTCAGCACGGCCTCACGCGGCGCTGTTTCCTAAGACCGCTCGAGGGCGGACAGGCTGAGGACGGCACCGGCGGCGCGCCGAGCGGAAGCCCGCGCCGAGCGGCGTAACGCTCCGCAACTCAGATTCCCGCCGCCACGACAACCAACCGCGCAGCAGCCGCTCACACTGCGCATGCGCGCGTTCGGCGCGTGCGCCGCCCCACGCCGGGACTGTGACGTCGCGCGTGGCCGCGATCGGCAGCGGAGGGCGTTGCGCCGTGTGTGGAGCGGGAACTTGCGTAGCGTACGAGTGCCGGCCTTCCGCCGCTCGCTCTTTCTCCTGGTGAGGCTCGGCGTGGTCACCGACGACGAGTGCCGGCCGGCCGGCCGGGCTCGGCGCCATGATACGGCGCACGAAGCCCGAGGTGGAGAGATACGTCGCCTCCGTGCAGGCCGCCGCCTCCTCTCCTAGAGAGGTGAGTGCTTGGGGCCCGGCCGGCAGCGCCGGCGGCGCTCCCGAGGCCTCCCCGGGGCCGCGGTGTGGTCCGCTCCCCGCCCGCGCCGTCCTTCCACTCCTCCCGCGGGTGCCGGGCCCGAGGGGTGGCCGCGGGCTTTGCCGGGGCCCGGGATGGCCGGCGGGGGCCGGCGGGCCCGGTGCGCGGGAAAGGCGCTGGGCTGCCCGTCCGGGCGGCGCTTTGCGGCCTCGTCCCTCGGGTACGGGGCGGGGGGGTCGTGGCGTTCCCGCTGCCGGGAGCGCTGGTGAGTCAGAGCTTGCTGAGGGGCTCGTGGAGTCGTGTGGGTGGGGAGTCGAAGCCGAGGGAGGCTGCTGGGAGGGAGGCCGCGGATATACTTCCTTGGAAGCGTGGTTTGCTACCGCTGCGCGCCTCTGAAAACTGCAGAGCCCTCGGTAACTTCCGAAAGAGCGCAGCGGCGTGGTGAAGTACGGATCCATGCTGTTCTGTGGGAAATGAATGGCCTGGGTTGAAAAGGGCCACCGTGATCATCTGGTTTCAACCCCGTGCTATGTGCAGGATCGCCAGCCACCGGAGCAGGCTGCCCAGAGCCACATCCAGCCTGGCCTTGAATGCCTCCAGGGATGGGGCATCCACAGTCTCCATGGGCAACCTGTTCCAATGCGTCACCACCTTCTGTGTGGAATAACCTCTTCCTAATATCGAATCTAAATCTCCCCTGTCTCAGCTTAAAACCATTCCCCCTTGTCCTATCTCTGTCTATTCCCCCTCCTGTTTATATGCTCCCTTCAAGTACTGGAAAGCCACAATGAGGTCTCGCCAGAGTTCCCGAGCTTCCAGCCTTCCCTCTCTTGAGGAAGCAAACTAGGGAATGCATACTGTTAAGCTTCTGAATTTCTTTGGTGTGTTGTGTGGCTGTTTTTCCCATCTGTGTGACAGCGTTGTGAACCGTCAGTAATAAGAGAGGGAGTGGTGGGGGGAAATAGCTTTGCTGCTGTGCGTTAGTAACTGGGCAGCCAGATGATTCCCTGATATCTGGCAAATGGTGTGCAGGTCCCGGTGAGCTGACTGATGAGGTTCATAGGAGCAGTTTCATCCGGAAAGGTCCCGCTCTGCTGCTTTGAATTGGTTTTATTGCAGACGTGGAATATTCAGCAGTTGTGTAATGTGAATGCACACTGTGATGCAGCAGGGCCTTGATGTGAGTGTAAGGCCTGCATGAGTCCTCATTTTGATCTTCTTCAACAGCAGTGGAGTTGTCCCTTCGCTTTGTTCGGTTGATTTTGATGCTGTTTAGGCTGCACAATGTTGAATGTATCGCTGCTAAATCTGGAGATAATCTTCAACAGTGTTGGTATTCTTGTGGAGCTCAATGAAAAAATATTGCCTGTCCTTTAGTAGTGCTCAAGGCCAAGTGCTGCGGGTTTGGTTTCATCTTTTCAGTGATGCTTGTAACTGGCTGTAGAGCACAGTCAGTGATGGAAGTAGTTACTGGTTTTTCTGCAGTGTTGATTTTGGAGAGGAGGGTTGTGCGAGGCTGTAAGCATTTATTTTGAAGTTTCTTTCCAACCCTGTTTACGAGGAGATGTCTCGCATGATTGCACTCTGTGCATGTCAGTGTATCCATGTTTTACTTCAAAATACAGACTGAAAAGTAGGAGACTGGTGTTCCTTTGAATCCACTTGTAAATATTTTTGAGGAGTAGCCTGAAGATTACTCCTGAAAGGAAGTAGGAAGGGGATAGGAGACTAAATTCAAGTGTCTTTAGATTGTGGAAATTTGTTTCACATCTGGAGTCATAGGTGTAACTAGTTCCAGTATTCCTGATTCTCACACAGAGGCTACTGTGGAAGTGATACGTGGACCCCAGGTTTTAGGTTTGTCTCCTGGTTCATGTTTACCATGAAGTTTTTGCTCATGACTTCCTAGTTCTCGAGCTCATTCACACAGGTAAAAAACAATGTTTCTTCAGTGCAGTAATTTAGTGCTGATGTTATCAGTCCAAGTGAACTTGAACTTGAGGACTCTGTGAGTGAAAGGTGAAACATACCTCTCCCCAGGTATTGACTGAAGGGCAGAACACGGAAATAAAAGTGAATA